TTTTTTACTAACTACACACAAATTTTTTTTTTTTTTAATATCTAAAAAAAAAACACATTTTTGTTGTCTTACTACTTCGTTAGCGTTACATTTTTTTTATGTTTACAGGTGATCGCATAAGATACCTACACCGTATTTTGCAAAATGTATGTACACTGCACGGTATAGCTGCGAATGGAAATCAAAAACAACGGCGAACCTAACACAGAACCAACAATTATACAGTGAATATTATACAACCTAAATTTACGTTACAACAAAAAACGGTTAAATTCAATTTTCTCAAATTTTTTAAATACATCAATCCGTCTAATAAGTCTTGTGATAAGGTACTTCTTAAGTGCGATTTAACATAATTTAGTTATGAGATACCACGCTTACATCTTACTTGAGTGCGGTGGCGGAACTAGTTATGTTCTGGGACACTAGTGTAAAACTAAATATGTCTTCTGTCTTTGTCCCTCGGGATTTTGTAACACGGTTTTAGAATCGCTTTTACATTACCTACTTCTCTAAACAAAAAAAATTTTACCGTAAAAAAAAAATGTAAATTATATCTGATATAATAATATATGATTAGAGAAAACGTTGTTGGTTAAATGCAAATTTGACTAAATCGTTGACATTAATGTTGCAAAGTTTGAAAATAACGCTGCAATATGCCCACATCTGTTAACTGAAAGTATTTTTTTTACAATGATTTAATGATTACGATGCAAAGCCAAAAGGCTTTTTGTATATTTTGTATTTTGTTTTTATACTCGACGTTGCGCGAGTTTTATCACAGACTAAATAAAACCAAAAATAGTGTACTGAAAAAAAAAATCAAAACATTTAAACAAACTTTAGTAATATCATATGTTAGTGTGACCAAAAAATGAAAAAAATAATTTTTATGTTATACAGTGTGGTCAAAAAAATGTTGTCAGACATCTGTACTATTATCACTATTAACCGTCGTCCATCGTTATTCATCAACTTGTTATTAGTAGTTATTATCAGTTTACATTATTGTTATAAATAGTGAGTACAATATTTTAGCACTATAATTGGGCCCTACTGCATTAGATTTATACCAATTAAAAATCGTTAAACCCTACTGGGTTTTTTCACAAACTTTCTATATTTTAACATAAACACATTAAATCTTAAATAAAAAAATGACGTTGTTTTATAGACATCTAACGCATAGAGAGGACGAAGAGGTCACGAGTCCACAAGAATTATTATTAATAAAAGTGATAAAATCACTTTCATATAAACACTTTGATGCTTAGTTGTAAATACATCACCTCAATTTAATATTTTCTAATTGAACCAATCTAACCGTTTAATACCTATGTTATGGACACATATGAGTTTTAACTGCTGACAAATTTTCAACATAAAGGTCTTGTAATTACGACTTAAACACCCAAAAAAACTTGCACCCCCCTCCTCCCTTTAAGGGGAAATCTTTATAAATTTCAACTAGATCCGACTCTTTTTCTCGAAACTATAGCCAGTTTGTTTTTTTTCAAATTTTAACTGTGAACAAATAAACTTTTTCAACTTTTACCCCCCTAAAGTACCAACTAGATGAAATTTGTGATTTATAGAGTTGCTACTCAAAGGGTATGGTCCAGTATTAAAATAATTACAGTGTATACGGACAAAAAAAAAAAAAGCCCACGTTATTGTAAAACCAATACCATCTCTGCTCCCCATCGAAGCTAAAATGATAAAAAAAAAAGTGTCAAGAAAAAACTAAAAACACTTACAACAACCATGGCCAAAATAATCCCAAAAAAAATGTTAGAACATTCTTTTTATCGTAATAGACTTGCAGTGTTATTTTAAAAAAAAAAAATTCCGGAGGGATGCTTCAAACGTTATTTCTTATAATAAATCATCATCATCAGCTGAAGAGGGCTTTAAGATCCAATGATACCATTATGAGATGATGTTATATAAATTAAATTAGAACGTTAAGTTTTATTTGTAGTTCAGTTCTTTACCCGTTACTCTTATATTAATTATATAATTAAAACACCCTAAATGTGTCGACAACCTTTTCATAATATACCCAAAATACTCCTTTCGAATGTTTTATATTTTTACATGTACAAGTAAGTATTTATTTATACCATCGAGTGACCACTAAGTTGATACGCATAAAAATATATTTTAATTTCGATTTTGTATTATATAGAAATGGAGAGAGGAGAGTCGACAAGAAGAAGTGTACGACGAGGAATTTTTTAGATCGTTAACCCATGTGTCAACTTCGGAAAGGTATGGACTCGACGACAACGACATTCGTTTGCTTTCGTCTGAATGCGAAACTGTCTTAAATTGTACCGACAAAAAGGAGTCCGTTAAAAAGTATCACACTTTAATGGAAGCGATCCTGCGCGTTAACGGGGAGTATATGGTGTTGATTTTTGAAAATCTAACAAAGTTGACGGAGTCAACGGATAGCGAGGAAAGGAGTTCGTTAGAAATGCTGGTGAAACATTATCATTTGCATGTAACTCGCATCTTATCCATGTTAGTTGTAGCCCAACGGGAGAGGGTTAAGTTTCGAAAGGCAGAAGGTACTACCCAACCTTTTATCATTAAAACGGAGGAAAGGGCTAGAACAATTAGCGAGTGGCAAGAAAAGTGGAGCGCTTCACCTAAAGCTAGCTGGACTAGACGGATCTTGCCGAGTTCGACCCGATGGATAGGGAGACCGAACCCAGTAGTCACGTTTCACCTAACACAAGTGTTGACAGGTCATGGGTGCTTCCAAGAGTACTTGTGGAGGAGGAAAATAGCCCGGAGTCCACAATGTGTGTACTGTCAGGATCCGATGGACACTGTAGAGCATACAGTGTTCTACTGCGAGCATTGGGCCCATTGTAGGACAGAACTACAACTACTGTTAAGAAGACCACCAAATCCGGAAGATGTGGAAGATCTGCTGTGTGGTCCAAACGTGGAAGAGCTTCCAGAGGGTGGCCATAGAGGCCGCCTGATGGAGGCGTCTGACAAAGCGCAAACAGCATTCGTCAGCGTGGTGGGCACGATAATGGATGCGAAAACAAAAGACGGAAGAGAACGGGAGCGACTCCTTAGAGGAAGAGTGACATAATTGCGTATTAATTGTAAATAATTGTATAAAACCGGGTATGTAAATGTAAATGTGAGCCCCCCCCCCCCGCCCGCAGGGGTAAAGGGGATTTTCTTGCAAAAAAACAGCATTTATATATGTACATATGTGAATAAACGAGACGGCTAATGAGGGGAAGTCATGTGAAAAACAGTTCCCCCTCATTGGTTCTGTATTTAAAAAAAAAAAAAGCCCAACGGGAACCTGCCAAATGGCAAATCATATTTTTCGTACTCCTCAACGATCTCCTTTCTGTGGATTTTCAATCGGTCGAATCCGATAGTGAATTTTACAAGTACCGCGCATATACCGATTTTGATCTTTTGGAAGAATCCCTAGATATTACCCGCGGTGATTACGGCGTTTTGTGGGAAATCGAAACGCTATACAACAACGACAAGTTACAATGCGCTTACAAGTACGCACACCTCATGACAGTAGAAAATGTAATGTTGCTTCGGTTGTACGGAAATCACGAGGCTTTGGCGCAAAATAATTCCAAGCTCGAAATCCAACTGGACTGGGAAAGCGTCAATTCGATGATCGCGCAAATGACCCATTTCAATAAGCACAACATGTCGATCAATCGAAATTTGCCATTGTTGCAGCAATACTTTATCGGGTACCCTACGTTGTTATTGAATTGCATTCGAGTAAGAACGCTCTTCCACGCGTAGCTTCATGTAAAATTGTTCATGGACATGCTAACGACGTATACGAATTCAAAACTACTCGATAGTACCAGAAAAACATTTCCGTCTAAAACCCGTGTACAACAATGCTGGCCTGCTCTTTTAGATCCTCTAAAAGACATCATGCAGATGTTTTCAATTAAAACCTATATTTATTGGACCGCACTTCGTTGCATGATGGACGATCATAAGCCATTCGAGAAAGAAGAGATTGTTAATTTAGAAGTGGAATTGAAAAATGAATTTCTAAGGATGGTGAAAGAATTGGAACTCGGAGAAGAAAATGATATTGCCGAGTATTTGGAAACACTGTCTACTGTTAAAGCGTTGTCTGCTCAGGAAATTATTATTGTCACATTTTAAAAAATATTCACTAGAAAAAATGTAATTTAATTTGTCAAATCTTCGTGGGGCCACCCTGTATAATAAACAGATATGTGATAGACAAAATATAATATATAATTAATAGTAAAAAAAGTGTATTTTTAAATAATAATTGTATAATTTTTTGATGGTACAATAAAAATTATATATTAGGTGTGTAATTTGTAAAACCGTGGTCTACATAGTATACTGCAGCGTACAATTTAAAATATAAAAAAAACTGTTTGTAAAAACAAAACATGGATATTATAACCATGAACGCTGTGACGTCAGATTTAAACCTGTGTTTATCATTTAACAATACACAACAATAACATGTTTGTGTACCTATTCAACAACAAAAAAAAAACGTACCAACACCAAATGTGAACACAGTTATTCGTTTTTAACACATTATATCCTACAGAGTCTATAGGATAGAGTATAGAAAATAACGGTGCATTGTTAAAATAAAAATACTACATATTCAAATCGGTTCTCAATATCGAGATTGACAAAGTTAAAGATCAACTATTCAAGAAGTTGATCATCGACACAGTACATTTCAAAAATATGTTTATTTATTTTTTAGCCTTTATCGTTTTAACGTCTAATTCAGGTAGATATAATATATATATATGTATAATTTGTACTGCATAATAATATCGTTGACTAAAGTAATTGAAAGCATTTTTGCTTAAGCACGTTGCAAGATTAGTTAAAGATTCCACCCTTCCGTGGAAACTAATTTTTCGATACAATCCTTTTTGTTAGCCAACATGCTTTTGTACTATCAATTCAATACATATATGATGGATGGTAAAAGTGAACCAAGTCTGTCACTGTGCTGATTTCTAGTAATAAACAACAATAGTTTGTTCTTCTCTCATATTTTATCATAACGGATAATTTCCATTCTACCATATTGTATAACTGGCATTTGGTTGTTTTGTCAAAACTCTTGAAGTTTTCAAGTTTCACACATGTTTTGCCACCTAATAATATTTTGTTGATACCATAATGTTGTTTATCTGTTAACATACCCGCTTTTTAATGAATGCAATAATATTATTATGTCGTACCTTAACAGGGTGATCAACTTAACGGTTAAGAGACTTAATATCTATTATTACCTGTACCAACCGAACCGAAAAATAAGCCTTTTTTTTACACTTTTATTTAGCATGTCTTGATCCTGTGTCGTCTTCGAAACAAGACAGTAACGAGCAAATCGATCACGCCCACTTCTTGGTCAGCGACATTAGCAGTCTGTATCTAAACGACAGGTATTGAATTTGTATTCTTATTTTCATTGATAAGGCTGATGTTAAACATTATACATGCACAGCTATCGTTAAACTTGTACATTGAAAAAAATATGGCAAACGGACGTTGTTAAAACGTGGCTGAAATCTGAACAATTATTATCAATATTCGTTCTTTTGTATTTTCGATTGTGAACACATAGTTATTATTATCCATTAATTATGTATTGGATTAATTGTTCATATCTTATATTTATTTCCATTTGCACTAGCAGTGTAGCCATCAGTCGTGATATTAATTTATATTTGATAAATATCTATATAAAATTTCAGTGTAGACATCGTTTCAGAATAATGCTATTTCGATTCCTTGATTCGGGAAACACTGTTTTCGTGGCGGGGGGAGGGAGAAATTCCGGTATTATAATTTTTGCGATTTTGTACTAGTAACTTAAAGTCAAAACAATTATTTTTTGAGAACATTTGTTGAGCCAACTTAATCTTAATCAGAACTTATACTCACATAATATTTATCGTTACTTTTTATATTGGCATGAATTATTAACTAACTTTAACACCTGATTACAGGTTTTCAGATGTTGTTTTGGTCGTGGACGAAGAACGATTTCCCGCCCATCGTAATATATTAGCCTCGCGTAGTGATTATTTTAGGTATTTAATTTCATATATTTAATATCATTTTTTTTTTTTTTTACTACAAAAAACCTTTACCTTTTGAAATTTATTAGCTATCCGTGTCATTATAATTTAAAAGTAGGTTTTATATAGATTTTAACACATACTGTTTTATCGTATGAAATAATATTGTGTATTATTTATAGGGCCTTATTTAATGGAGATTTTAAAGAATTCAATGAGTCGGTGGTGGAAATTAAAGAAATATCAGTAATCTCGTTTAAAATACTCCTCCGGTATATTTACACCGGTCGGATGAATTTAAATGCTCTAGAGGTAAAGCATAATCGACGTAGCTTAGCGTTTATTAAACGGCATAAACATTATTAAGTTTATCCAGGTCGTGTGATCGTCTGGCGGATAGTATGTGTTTGATGCAGAGAGATAAATAAAATTATTCATTTTTTTTTTTTAGGATAATGTGGTTTTGGAATTATTTAGCGTTGCGCATTTATTTAGTTTTTCAAACTTACAACTTCCATTGGCCAAGTATTTGCAAAATAACGGTAATGAACACAATGTATGTTCGTTGTTTGCTATGGCAAGACTTTATCATTACGAAGAGCTCGAGTACAGATCACTTCTCTTTCTTAAGTACTACGCTTTAGATGCATTGCGATCCAAAGATTTACTGTTACTGTCGGCCGTAAGGACCAAATTCAACATGGCTCGTGTTAGTTGTGAAAGACAATTGTATTTTTTTTTTAGGAAGCAATACAAGATTTGCTGAACCGTGACTCGGTTTATGCTAACGAAATTGATATATTCCGTGCGGTTTCTCAGTGGATCCAAGAGAACCAAAACGATCTGAGTCCTGACACTAAAATCAAAGTCCTATCTGTCGTCAGATATCAGTTAATGACCGACGAAGATCTGTCCGAAGTTAGGAAATCACAACTGGTTGGTTCGGATACGATTTCGGATGCCGCACAAATGAGAAACACTAGACCGCTAGAACAACTTAAATATCGTGTACAATTGAGTAGGTTTTACAATAGTGTAACGTATTCAGTATAATATGGTCGGCTTCTCATGAAAATTTACCCACTGATAGGAGGCTGCCATTTTGTGTACAGTTATTGTTTTGTCCATGATATTATATACCTATTGAGTTGAGTGGTTTCGACTATTTCGTTTTTTAGGATACCACGTGGATATTAATAAACCTCAATATGGATTCCCGGTTATCGATGCAACTGACGGCGGTACTATGATCAATTTCGGTCTTCCAATGACTATAAACTATATTGAAATGATGCTGCATAACGAATATATAGGGTGTGTTTTTAACTTATTAATATTTTCAATCAGCTTTTTGCACAACTCGGATGCTAATATTTAATTTTCTATACTTTTTTAAAAATAAGACGTTTCTTTTTTTCTTTTTTTTTTAGGGTTTTCAGTTACTACGTTGAAGTTTCAATGGATGGGCAAGATTGGGCGCGTGTTATTGATCATTCGAATTATAATTGTCGATCAATTCAACGTTTGTGGATTTATCCGCGCATAGTTAAGTACACACGAGTACACATTGTAGGAAACGAAAGCACTGCTAATGTGACTTTTAAATTTTTGAAAGTCACGTACAATTCGGACGAAATGCACTCGGTGAACATCGTAAACGGATTAACGGGTAAGAAAACCAATAAAGTACCTCGTAATTGTCTAATTGACTAATTTCACTCAAGTTCCTAAGTATAATGTCGCTTCGAGATATATGGATGCGTTTGTAATGAAAGGTAATGGTTCAAGAAGCCAGTCGCTGTTATATAAACACTGTGAAAATTCATACATCTATACATATCACCTGCTGGCATCTGGTTTTATAGTGATTCATTTTGCACAGCCGTATATAATTGGTTCAATGAGGTAATAGTATAATTAATACCTTGCAATATTTATAGCTTTCTTTTTACTATGTTCGACAAGCTCACTTAAGCCTCCGTTAGACAATTGTTTGTAATCATTTTCAATTGTTGAGATAAGTTCCTTATTTCATACACGGTCTACAAAAAAATCCCTTAGAATTTTTTACACAAACTGCATGTTTCGTTGCATTTCATTGGTTTTTTCAAATAAGACTTTTATTTTTTGCCAGGATGCGGCTTTGGGACCACGACGACCGAGTCTACAGTTACACAATTGAAGCTTCTGTCGATAATCAGAATTGGGAAATGGTCGTGAACAAATCTAAAGAGCTGACACGATCTTGGCAGATGTTGCAATTTACACCGAGGCTGATGTCGTACATTCGTATTACTGGCGTTCACAGTTCAGTAGGCAATGTTAGTTCAATTAATCCAAGTGTGTTTTTGTTTTTAACTTTTAACAACACTTTTATGCTGTTAGGATTTCCGTTGTATATATTTGGAGGCTCCCGCTCAAGTGACATTAGATTCCAACGTCGTCGAAGACGATTTTGCGAAAACAATGTACAAGGTAAGTACATCAAGTCGTTACATACCACTGTTGGTTTACTCTGATATTTAGTTTTTACTATCACAATGAAGAGTATTGTACGAGCATTTCTGTTGTCAGGAAAACAACAAAACCACGGCAGAAGCATCGGCTCAACCTACAGCCGGTTAAACTAAATTCCGAATTCACGCATACCAAGAATTACAGATATTATTTAAATATTATATTTTTCTTTTTTACACGTCGTATTTATTCGATGAATGGAATTAACAAAAAAAAATAACTGTGTAAATTTAATATCACATTGTATGAAATGGCTATGGAAAAAAAAACAATTAAATGATTAATGAAACTCATTGAGATATTGATCGGTTTAAGATAAAAAAAACATTACAGTGGGGTCGGGGCGTAGTGGAAACAGAACGTAGAGGGGTCGCAGCAAAGTAGGGATGGGGAGGTCACAGGTTTACAGCAATTTTGGCATTTTTATGTCTTTGCTATGGTACACACACGGAAAAACGACAACGACACCGGTTATCATAACGAAAAATAACAGCTGATTTATCTGATAGATAAGAGAGATAAGAGTAACTTTGGAACACAACGGAAAATCGACACCGTTATCATAACGAAATAACAGTTCATTTATCTGATAAGAGATAGGGTAGAGATGAGGGTTGGGGTTGGGGGTGGGCATAGGGATGAGGGCATATGTGTTGTATTCACAACGTTCAAAATAGAAATGAATAATAAATTCAATAATTTAAGGGGCCAAGTTCTCCATGAATTGTTTTGGGCCAGATATTATTGAAAACACTAAAATATTAGCCAGAAACTTGTTTATGCACCTTAGATACATAAAAATGTATCCCGTGATGTTGCAGACTCGTACGCAAGCTGTTAAACATTCCCCAATTTTTAAATCTGAAAGTGATAAAATCACTTTCGAAAAAACGTTTCGATGCAAATCGGCGGTAGTTAGTATTTTCAAACCAGTACAGTCCAAACCAAGCACAGTGTAAGACAGCAAAGTTAGAAAGTATTAAATTGAATCGGTCATTTCAAAATCGACTTAAGTCACCGATTTTCCAAAATTGAATGTTTGTCAAATTTTCTAATTATATACATAGTTACGTATTCTGTGTGAAAACTAAAGTAACCCTTTTTTACTTATACCCTTTTTAACATTTATATTAAATATGAAAATAGAATAGGAGCAGTATCATAATATAAAGTACTATGATTCATGATTTTTAATTATATCGTAATTTGAACATAGTAATAAAATAATGAAATATTTTATACAAAATCAGAGCTACAAGTTTGATAAACCAAAAAATTAATAAATAATATTCCATACAAACTTGAAGTTCATTAGAATATTTTCAAAAAATGTATCAAGCGTTGTAATTATAGGTTGAAAAATATGTAAACTTTGTGAGTCTCTTTCTCGACTTTGAAGGGGTAGGGTTGAATTTTTTCAATTTTTCGCCCAATAAAGTGCCTTTAACCGGTTGTCTTTTATAGATAAGCTTAAGTGCTATTTTAACTTTATAAATATTAATTTATTAAGGTATTGATGGTCCTGACAGGCTCGATTAGCAAACGTCCCATTACAAAACCTATGCTACAGTCTATATTATGCGCTATCATATTTCAATAGGACTTTAAACAATGCCTGTATCAATTAGGACGCAATGTACTGTTTTTGTATTTCACTTGGCATAATAATCGAGTTTAATATTAGATTAATATAAATATATTACTTGAATAATTTTGTTTGATTTATTACTGTAGATTTGTGTTGTACCGTACTCTGTGTTTTAATAGTAAAAATATATCATATACTTTCTTTAGTTTGTAATAGAAACATTAATAAATAAAGATTTGGATAGTAACTAAACGCAGTATCTTATTTTGAAAATGTATTGTCAAGTATAGACCACCAAATATATTGTTTTTTTATTTTCTATTGAAATAACACTTAGTATAAGCAGTGTATGGAAACACCTCGCACCGCTGGAACACAGAAAACATTCTTTGTTCTACTTTATAACTAATATAAAATCAATTATTATTTTAAAGCTACCAACAATGTCAATTGCATAATGTGACACTAAATTTGATTAATATCTGTACACTGTCTACGATTTAAGTTGTTCCAACAAGTCGTTAGGAACATAATAATAACATTACTAATAACATATTTGTCTTGTGCTTTTAAAATGACTTATTGAAATAAGAAAAAAACGAACAGTCATATTTTTTTGTACTGGTATAAGACAAATCTTTTTTTTTTTTACTTATTTCTTTCGGGTTTTTATATTTTCAGAAAACAAAACACCAGTTGGTTACACACGACCCAGAAAAGTTTTGGCGTTATATGAACACTCATATTTTACAAAAACAACATTTTAATGTTTTAAGTTATATTATTTCCATGATCTAAATTGCTGAGCTAGCAATGTAATCAAGTTGTATTTAATGATCCCAGAGTTAACTGGGACCTAAAGGAACTGGCATTATTTTAACTCGGAACAAGAAACACCGGATAAGAGAGATCTAATAATATGGAAAGATATTTTAATGCTAAATGCGGAGGAGGCGTTAGCTTTTTTGCGGTTATGGGCAAAATCATAATAATAAATAACTAGTTTTTAAGGAAGGTAAAAAAAAAAATTGCGAAAAACTAATCTCAAATTGTATAAAACAAAAAAAAAAATGTATTAAACCCTAAGAATCATTGAGTGGTTAAACACGATAAAATGATCACCGAGCTAGAAAATGTGATTTTTATGAAGTTTTATTATTTGAATATAACATTAATTACAAAATACACAAATAATACAGTAACCTTTTAAAACAAAAAAAAACTCTCACATCCATTATAATTTTAAGAATAAATACATAACATTTAAAAAATAAGCTAACAACATATTACCTTGATTTTTTATTACCTAGACTTAAATTAAATACTTTAAATAGTATGAGTTTTTGAATATAGTGAACAACTATAGGATGTTGAAGTAATTTTGTAGCCCTGAAATATGTATATAAAAATAAATTTACAATGCGTTAGTAACACAGTATATTGTGTAACATTATATATAACGTCGTATTAACATTCGATCTAGAAAGTCACCGGTCTTCAGAAATAATTATTGTTATAACTAAAATTGATACTCTAAAAAAAAAAAAAGATCTAGAAGACAGTAATGCGCATAGTAATGTGCAATTGCATTTTTGTACTTCGATACGTTTAGAGTTGCTTGGGAAGAAAATTTAAATAAATCAGCCAAGTCTGCAACGACGAAAGAGCATTTTCATGTCTCGTTGAAGTACCGAATAAATTTAGAATAGTGGTGGAATTAGAGATGAAAAATAGTCGAAAATGTTCCAAATTTATGTGAATCGTTCTTCAAACATAGTACTATCGATAAACAAACCAAAAAAATATCATTAACCCTTTCCCTTAGAAGGGATAGATTTTTTTTCTTTATTTTACTTTTGCAAGCAAAGTTTTAGAGATTTAGATCTGAAAATTAGACCGATGGTAGATCTAAAATGGAACTATAACATGTACAATTTTCTCAAAAATCTGTAGTCAAGTTTTTTTTTTTATTAAGGAAAAATCCCGAAAATAGGGTAAATTTACACTTTCTCAGTTTCTAGGTTGCTATGTGTGTGTGAATCAACAGTCAACAGGTAATGAAAAAATGTTCATTATTTTGTTGGTTACGATACAATATGAGTAACTATGACGCTACATTTTTTCAGACAGACGATCGACCCTTATTGTATCATTTATTTTTGTATTTAGATATTATAATTTTTGGATAACTAACAATTCATTTAGACAAGCCAAAAATATGCGAAAATATTTATTTTTATTTATCACATTACAAAAAAAAAAAAATTAAAAGCTAATAACATTTATGTTATAAAGAACCGAAAAATGTATTGCTAAAAGAGTAAAAATGATTAGGTACTTGCCTAGAAGTGGAAAATGTAGAAATCCGACACCGGCTGGATTGTAGCGTCCACATTACTTCTTACCTGTGGACGGTACTACATTATCAATCTTATAATACTGGTTAAAATTTTGTTTCATATGATCTTTAAAAGCCTTTTTCTTTATATGACGATCGACTAGAAATCATTATAAAAGTATTCACATTATAAAAATGTATCTAACCATAATAATTTATAAAAAACAGCAAAGTGATAATTAGTTATTCACATTTCACGTGTATACACATATTTTACAATATGTATTACTAAATTATTATTGTGTACCGTACCCGTCGGCAAGCCCTCTGTTATCGCTCTCATGCTTTCCATAGTTAGTTTATATTCTGACAAGTGTTTTCTTAAGTAGCTTCTTGTATCTAACTTGTTAACTGTTCCAAAACATCCAAAACAACCAAAAGGACAATTTGCTTTGGCACTAACCTTTTTGACTTCAGAATAAATTGTTTCCAGTTGCTAAAATCATTATAGTTTTATAATTAATACACAATGTAAACGATATTATTGCAAAAATAATGTGTCTTGAGTTATTACTAGTATATTATTCACTAGATTTACAGAGGTTATAATTATACATTCTTTCATTTAATGAATCATACATTAAGCTATGAGATCATTTAATCACCTCATCGTTAAATGTGTTTGCTATTTGAAAACAAACAAACAAGTATACAAATACATTAGCATATTTAAAATACATGGTTTTATTTTTTTTTTTACACTTGATGCAGGACACTCGATGTTTTGCAGGAACTTAAGACTGTAATGGTTCGTATTCTTTTTAATGAATTCCGTCGAAGCGATTTCAGTGTTACGTTGATAATATACGAAAAATAATGGTGGCTGTCAACCATAAAAAAAACAGTAGTTGTTTGGCCGTTGGCAAAAAAAAATGCCTGTTATACTTGTTTACACAACGGTCTTCAAGTCAAACATTTTATAGGAAAAAATGGTTTTTTTTCTCAATGACCTACATAAAAATTTAATTTTTTTCCGATGTTTGAACAGTAGTTTGTTGTTGCACTGGTGATAGTATATGAAAGCAACAACAACAAAGTATTCACCTACACATTTAGCCGATTTAGTAGTATCTACAGCTTAAATTGAATTAGGAAATTAATATTTATATATATATATTTATTGTAAATTTCGAATTTGAAAAGCGATATGAAAAAGTTACAAAAAAGTATTAGTTTGTGATTTACTGTAACATTTTTTTTTTTTTTTTTTTTTTTATAATGAGTATAGAAAAAACAAAACTTTTAATAATGCACTTAAAATTTACAAAGAATTCCAATACATGCACACTGATATTGTATTTGTAACATTAAGTAAAATATTTATTAAATTGATCATTTTCAATTTACAAATTTCAACTTTTTTTACATATAATTTCGTTTGACCGAAATTTGTTATGAAATATTACTAAATATGTATTAAGGAGGATAACGTTTTTATCAAATACTCAAATATATAAATAATTTGTTGGTTTAAAAAAATGCAATGATCCGACATGTTGGAAAATGTTATTTTGTTTGCTCTAATCTAGAACACGGGTTAGTATTATGGAACCATAGTAATAATAATTAATAACGTAAAAGAGTTTAACTGCTCATTAAGATACCGTCTAGGTCTTAGTAGTATAGATCACGTGCAAATGTTTGGATAACTGCTTCATTAGTAAAGTTAATTTAAATTTACTTTGATATTATTGTCAGATAGCTAATCTGAGTTTTAGTAGATTTGAAAAATTGAAAGATGAAACATTTGCAATTATTATTTTTTTTTTTTTTTTGGAGGGGGAGGAATAAATAGAGATCCCATTTTTTTAAGCATGAAGAAGTAAACTTTTTTAAATTCTACGCCCCCTCCCCAAAACGCAAACTAGGCACAATTTTATCGATGATAGACTTTGATGATCGAGTAAATCATTTCAGCGGTTTTAAAGTAAGATACAGATGAAAAAAAAACTTTATTGAAGTTAAATTACTATCTAGGGAACAGACAAAAAAATGTATTTGAATAATCAAATAAAATATAATAAACAAAAAAAACTTTTTCAAAAACATGCTTTTCTAAAAAAAAAAAATAGTAAAAAGTGAACTAAAAAGTAAAAAATAATTTTATTACAAGAACAATTTACCAATCAATTGTAGCATATTTTATTTAAAATATCAATTACTTTGAAAACAACCGAAAATTAACTACAATTTTAAATAATGTTAAACATCTTTAATTTTTGACTAAAAAGAAAAGCGAGGGCGCTATTCAACAAAGTCCAAATTCATTGAGTTAAGTATTGTGAAATGAATGTGTCACACATAAATATTAAACTAAATTTAAATTACAAAACAACTTACAATATAAAACATTATCTGATACATTTATCAGGGACTTTTTCTCGAAATTATAGCCAGTTAACTTAAAAACTCGTATGGTTTTTGTTTTTTTTTTCTTCAAATTTTAACTGTGAAGAAGTAAACTTTTTCAACTTTTACTCCCTTCAAAGTACCAACTAAATGAAATTTGTGATTTATAGAGTTGCTACTCGAAGGAATTGGTCCAGTATTTAAAAAGTTACATTGTTTACAGACACAAAAAAAAACACATCAGAGTAAAACCAATTACTTCGCCGCACTGCATCGAAGCTAAAAATCATCCTGTACACGCATCAACGATTTTTAAAAAACAAGTAAATATGTTATCTAGTGTTTGTTTAAAAAACATATTACACAAAACACACTACACCCAAGCAGATATGTGCACAGTGCGCGCACATGCAGTAGCACATTAAATGTATCGACCGATGTAAACCTTTTTTATTTTGCTTCGTATCCTAATTTTACACGTCTTTGACTCCTAAAATACCTAAAAACATTTCAGTTGCTCGTTCTATACCGATAACGTACCGAAATAATGCGTTTGAATATTTCTTCATTAGCGTTTCTCGCGTGCACGTTTGTAAGAATGGACGTGATCTTCACTCATATTATGTCTGACGAAGCCGTGTTAAAAGCGTTTGTCGCTCAACCGGGGTGGAAGCCTATTTTGAGAATCATTAAAAAAAACAGCAAACCCGAGTACGCCTCGGCCATTGATAAAGTGATACGACCGAACATCTCCGCCAGGAACGTTGTAAGTAGATCTCGTCGAGTTTTTCAATTGTTGTGTTGCTTTTACACGATGACGCTGAGAACGCTCATGGTCAACGCAAAAGATATCCTGACCATAAGTGTCTCGAATCTGGGACTCGAAAACGACATGCACATTGACTTCAAGAATTTATTGATAAAGGCTATTGGCATTATTGTTGATATTGTTCCGCCCATGGTTAGCGCTTTGAAGTATTTAGAACATTATGCGTCCGACATCTACGGTAAAGCACAAGTGGCATTCAATTCTTTTCTGACGTATTTCTCTTGTCAGCCATCTGATGACAGTACCTCGGTACCGTATTGGATGTTCATGAGTATAATTGCCGACGACGATGAAGATATCAGGATGCAACTGAACAGTATGGATGAATGGTTAACAATAGTCAGCAACTACACCACAACTTTTTTGGATGTTTACTGCCCCATAACCAAACGCGAGGAAGCACCGTATAGACAGTTTCATAATTTAAGCCAAGAAGTGTCCAAGAGTATTTATAACACTGTCTTCGAAAAAATGAAGTCAATTTTCCTTGTCCAGTACTACGAGACCCTGGGATTTGTGTACGAAAAAGCAACAGGTGAAAGTGGCTTTTCAGAAAGTATGGCCCATAGAATTATCAGAAACCAGTAATGAATATAAGTAAAAGGATTAATTGCCAATGGTTAAACTAAATCCAGAGTTCTAAATATCTGTACTCTAGTTCTGTATTTAAATATTACAATATGATACCTATAAATATGTCCTAAAATGTCAGTGTCTGTACAAAAGTTGGCGTAAATCTATAAAGTAGGTAACCAAAATCAAATCCTTGTGTATTCGTATAAAACATTTTATGCTTAGGATGTCAACGATTTTGTTAGGTATGTTAAATAATAGCTACTTTATTTAGCGGAACATATTATTAATATTATAATAAATGTGCGTACACAAAAAAAGGAATACAAATTATTAAATATTGTAATAAATGTAAATATAATTATTACTAACTAAAAGTATACATGTATTTTTTTAATACAGTATGTTTTATAATATCCTATAAGAAAAATGAAACGCATATAAAATAGCGGCTTAATGGCCATTTACATCTAAAAAACACTAAGGTGTGTTTTTACAAAACTGCTGAAAAAATAATGCAATGACGTAAATTTTTTGGCTAAGATCAATAAAACAGATTTCGTGGCCTTAACATGGTAAAACCTTTTTCAAAATGTACTAATAACTTTTCTCGTCTAGGGAGAATCGTATAAAGATAATTTAAATGAAAAAAGCTCAACCCTTACGGGGTGGGGGTAACCCGGATGCAGGGTTATCGAAATTGGATTTGATATAATTTGGAAATAAAGGCATGCCTAATTAAGTTCCGTAAAAATTGCGCTTCGATCCGACCGTTCTTCGCTAAGTTCAAGTGAGTTAAAGTTCAAGTCGGCAAACTTTTTTCGATTTTTGTTGGTTTTTCGGTTGATTTTTCTACTTTTGACCCACCAAAGTACCAAACGCAAACCATTCCGGATATATAGAGATGATACTCAAGTAAATCGGTCCAAAGAAAAAAAATATGAGACCCCTCTTTTTAGGGTTTTGGTTTATTTTTCACAGTTTTTCCTAAAAAAAAAAAGGGTCAACAACATGTTTTTAAAAATATTGTTTGTCTGTGCTATTGTTCCATTCTAGATCATTCTAGAAAATATGTTCTTTAGATGGGACGCTATCAATAAACGTTAACAATATATGCATATATTTTGCACATGAGTAAACAGTTTTAAGAACGCAAATAAAAACGTTCTTAAGTAACTGTTGCTTAAAACAAATAGCACGGATCAACAGTTACAAACTTGGTACTGTTTTTATTTCTCAAGTATATTTTTTCGCGGTAAGTACGGCGGTAATTCGGTAAAACACTATTTCAATCACAGTCATAGAGCAATAATACAATATTTCCATAAAATTATAAAATCTTCACAGGAACTATTACCGAATATTTTATAAACAGTTTTTACTTCCAAAATAAATAATTAAACATTTTGAATCGAGGTTTATTGTTTGATAATTTAAATTGTTTTCAAAAACCGTGATACTGTTTGTTTGTGTGGCATTGTATTTTTTTCAATGTCAAGGTGCTGGCTCTAGTGGTGATCGACGTGTAAGCATAACAAGTACTTATTATTTATGATTAGTAAAAATTGCTGAGATTGTTGCTAAACAATGTACAAAGTGTAAGTAATGTTTTCACTTATAACCACCAATTATGGAAAACAATAACAACAACAAAAATTTAACTACTATGAAATTTATGTTATTATGCTGAAAAAATTCGCAAGCCACATAATATGTCTGGTAGTTTGGCATTTTTATTTCATTATAGAAGGATCAAATTAATTTTCAAATTGTTATCCTACAATTTAATGACTAATTGTTATTCTTATAACAATAGCGATTAATAGAAAGAAAAGTCAGTGAACATTACCGGCAGAACGGCATGTGCTACGACACGTTATTATGTATATTTGAAGAAGTAAATCAAGAAACTGGCACAAATGGAGAACTCACAAATTGTAAACTAATTGAAAAAAGATGACAACATTTGGTGCACACAAAAAAATTAGCAAAATATGAGATGCATGATCAGATTTTTTAAAAAAAAGCCAGTACAGTGAGGTAGGAGCATAGTAGGGACGGGGAGGTCACAGGTTAACAGGAATTATTATAAATAATAGTCATAACATTACTTTCAAACAAAAGCTTTGATGCTTATTTATATAGCATTGTTTCGCCCATGGTTAGCGCTTTGAAGTATTTAGAACACCTTGGGTATGGAAAAAACCAGCAGTCACTTTTTTCTAATCTAAGAAAAACACGTTTAAGTAATGCTAAAATATGTTTTAAAATGTTAAAGAAATACTTATAAATTTTAAAAATACTGTATATTTTTGTTTATAATCGTGCTTAAAAGTAAAGAACAGATTCGTTTTGTATCAAAACGAATTTTATAACAAAAAATTGCCATTTTTAAAAAGTGACTTTGCTAGTTTTTTCCCTGTACCCTCCAAATATTATTGCAATAATGAAAATATTTAAAATTTTTAATAAATATACCTAATTTATAATATCTTATACCGGAGTTTGTTATGAAAAAGTGAAACGCATTTAAAATGTCCGCTAAATGACAATACTCATCTTAAAAAAAAAAACACTGTATTTTTATAAATATTTTGTATTTGATCAATGGTGTAATACTATATTGACTGATGTACATGGTATTCGAGCAGTCATAGTGTTATACTCAGTACTCACTATAATAATCCGAACCTTAAACAAATAAGTTAAGTCGTTATCACATGTGTAAGTATGCATCAGTTGTGCATTGCAATTTCAGGTGAAAGGGTAAAGTGTACATGCATATAATTTTTGTAACCTACTATACATGGCAGGTGGTACAATAATATAAAATAAATAATGCCTTTTCATTTTACAATAAAAAAATTGCCACCACAACTGGCACCTACCAATATTTTAACTGTGACCTACCGCGCCTATTAAATTTAAGAACTACTAGATAATTATTAATAACCACTATCGACCTGGGTCTAAATTGCAACACCTGTCAAAATCGTTTAATACATAATTATTAGGTAATAAGCAACGGAAAAAAATGTCATTTTTCATTTTTCACGGAATAGAAATATAATTATTCGTTTTAAATAATAATAATAATTGATAGTCACCGGGTTTCGATTTGCCGCCAATAACAGCTGATGCGATGTTGTCAGATTGTCATCATGGAAAAAATTTAGTTACACCGTTTTTTCCATGACAGGAATCAAGATGGCGGAATCCGTGTGGGAACAATCATTTGTTTTCACTATGCGCCCACTATATAGTTCAGTGATCTTTGGCCAAACCATCTTAAACATATTGGAAAGAAGACAAACGTTATATTTTAGCATTGTAGTTGCAATAGTAGTTGCACTCGTCCCAACAATGAAAAGCAAAGACAATACCTACTTCGAGTGGTTGAAAATCAGAGAGATAAATTTTTAGATTGCAATTCAAAAAAAAAATTATTTGTTTAAAAAAATATCTCGTTCATTTGAGAGAATGATATTAAAATATAGCTATTTCAATGTTATAGTAAAATGTTTAATATGCAAAACAATTTTAATTTATAAAATACTATAAATTGTATACAACTATAGAATATATCATAAAATAAAAAAAAGTTTATTTAACTATTAAAATTACCGTGAAACAATATTGTGCGAGATTAGATTTATGAGATTTATTTATTTAGATATATTACTACACCAAGCCTATACTAAAACCAAAAAGGCTACGATCAAGTACATTGCATTGCACGGTTAGGTTAAAACAAAACCAACTTAAGTTTCTATAAAAAACATTTTGTAACGACGTGTTAAAAAGTTATTTATTTCAAATCACTAATTATAAAGACTAGAAAAAAAATTCATTTTTTATTATTTAGCGTAGCATGCAATGAAAATTACATAGCGCTTTACACACAACAGGAACGTCGTAAAAGTCATTTTTTCTTCAAAATAATATAATCATTACGTTTTACACGACGACGACGACGCAATGCACGTATTTTTTTTCACACTTAAAATTTACACTTTGATACAATATTATTATAAAATTAAAATTACCTCGGAAAATAACAAATAAAATTTCTATAGAGGTATTTTTTTTTTATATCATTATTATTATTATCATTATAATATTATAATGAAATTAATTTTACGTTATCTAAACAAATGTAACGTAACTGTAAAAAATGTGTACTGTAATATAAATTTTGGTTGATATAATATATTTATACGTATACGTTAAACGCAATTAAAAAAAAAAAAAAAAATCATATATACACATATATATGTTATTAAACTTAGTTTGACTGTCGCGAGGAACGTGTTTCTATATTTGTACTCGAGAAATGACTGGAATGTTTTTTTCTTGGAACTACGTGTTTCTCAATATTTTCTCGACACGCCGTTCGTCTTGTAGCTGCCGTATCTGTTGTGTTTGTCTGCGGCCAACACGTTCATGCCGACGCTGGGCGGCGGTACGGTTCGATGATCGTAAACGACGTTGTTGCCAGAAATACGTCCGCACATCGCCGAAGTGGAGTTCCAACGACTGCCGATAGAACGTAAAACGTTTATAATAACCGATTGGAAAAATACATGGGGGGGTGGGGGAGGGAGGAAATAAATTCACATACTTGACGGACGACGACGGCTGAGGCGGATGTTGCCAAGCGAGGTTGTCGTTTTCCGAATGGCCACCACTACTAGTCAACCACGGATCGGGCCTCGAATGTTGCTCCGTCGCCTCGAACAACGAGCCGTTCACCGGCGGCGGCGGCAACGATGACCAAGCGTTGTTATCGTTACTGCGAGACATCGTGTAGGCTGGGGGGAAAAGACCGAAAGATTTTTCAGTTGAAGTTTTACAGTAAATGAAAATTGTATGTATAATTATAGCGTCAAGTCGCTACAATAAACGTCGTCAATATCCACTTACAACTCTTGCCGGACTCGTGCGACGTATGACCGTGTCGACTGCTCGTTTCTTTTCTACGCGAATCATCCCTACGGTCGGACTGGCCATCGCGGCTTTTGTAACGATGGTCGGACGATGACGGCACGCCGTATCTATAAAAAAAAAAAAAAAGCCATTACGTTTAACATAATAACAAGTGTAAGCGTGAAACCGGATTTGTCTTTGTCACTAGCTACTGGTGACTAGTAGGCACTCTATCGTAGGCCTGTACGACAATGCGTCGACTATATTATCAACTATTGTGTATCGGGTTACCTAGCGCTAACTGCTGAATCTTTGGGTCTCGATGCGGGTGGCGGCGGCGGCGACGGGGACGGCCTCGATCGACGAGATTCGGAAGGATACGTATCGTAGTAATGTGTAAAAGTAGGTATGTTCAACGGCAGAGCAACGGTCGGATTGACAAATTTCTCGTTGGGACGGCTGCGAGAACTATGCAATCGCTCATCACTGTGTACAAACAATACAATACGGTATTTACACTATGCAACATACACTAGAGCAGATTGATTTAGTCAATAAAATTAACCTATTGTCGTACCGCGAGGTGCTCGCAGCAAACATTTGTTTTTTGTCAGACGTCGCGGTCGTCGACGGTTCTACGGCACGTTTTAACGACGAACTCAACGACGCTTCCAGTTTGGCCGCTTTGAGTTTTTCTTGAGCTCTCAGCAACTCTTCTTTTTCTCTCTGCAATCGTTCACGTTCCAAACGTTGATTTTCCCGTTCCAAACCCAACAGTTTGGCTTTTTCCTTTTCGATAAGCTCCCGTTCGATTTGAAGTTGTTGCCTTTCTCTGACAAGGGGAAAAATGAAAAAACCGATAAGTATAGATAGTTTTTTTTTTTTTGAAGGTGTGACATTAACATTAACAATCTACAAACTTTGCTAAACGTATAAATTCCTCCTTTTGTTTACGGTCGATATTCATTTGACGTTCTTTTTCTTCTCTTAACGCGTTCTCGTGCGCTTTATGCTTTTGTCTTTCTCGTTCAATCTGCAAAATTATTAAAATGTTTTTACTGAATTGATAAATGTATCAGTCGAGATGCTTAAATAAAAAAAAATTAAAAAAAGAATATTGGAAATACTTTTGCACGTATTTTATATCAATATAATATCTCCAACCGGGTTAGACTGACTAAACCGATTTAGATGGCACTGGGAATAGACACCATCAGACAAATTAACGTGACTGGTACTTCATTCTCTGGATAAAGATTTTAAGTCAATTGAATTTTCGACATTTTAATTTACTTTGAATTACTTTTTTTTATGTGTAGGATCAAAGAAGAATTTAATATATTTTTCAGGGCCGGAAGTGGTATAATTTCCTCAAATGGAACCAAATGTAACTGTAACCCGATAGAGATGGTTATGTTTTTTAAGTATTTCTAGGTATAATTAACTGACTATTGTTTGAAATGGTCAGAGCAAATAGAATGTATACAAAATAAATGAAGAAGATTGGGAGTGCTGTCTTACAAGAATTGCTTAACAAAAGAATATCTTTAACGCAGAACACATAATAGATAGAACATGATTATTCGTAAGACCTTCAAAAATTCCACTAGCAAGCACTACATGTTCATCAGGATACATCCCAAAAATTACACTTAACAATATTAATAATGCCTGTAATAAAAATATGCTTAAAGAAACAAAAAAATATATATAAAAAACTTCCTTTCAATAGAGCTATTAGTAAGATAAGTAGTCCAAGGTGGTAAGATAGAAGACTTTTATAATCAGAGTTGTGCAAATTATTATTTGAATAAAACAATTATTTTCCTATATAATATTATACTGGTATACAAAATTATATTTTAAAATATAACTCTTTTAAAAAAGCACTTACAAGCTGTTTAGAAATGATTCGAATAAAAATGATTTAGGTTATGTAGATAACGTTTGTTTATAATAATAGTGTTGGTTATTTCAGTGATACCTATTTGTATAATCCAATTAAAATTATTAACAAAACAATTACAATAATAAAGTTTTTGATGTACTCGATTTAGTATATTAAACAGAATAATTTAACACCGAACACCAGTTACGAAACATTGCTCAGATGGTATTTGTATCGTTTTAACTGTATTTTTTTATCATATTTAATATGTAATGAATTTATAATTATGCTGAAATAAGAAGATGAGTAGAAAAAAAATAAAGCTCTTAAAAAAAAAGTGACACTATTTTTTTATAAATGTAATATTAGTTATGGATTTTTTTTCAATTGTTAAAATATCGGTTATTCGTTAAACTTATAAAGTATAACAAATAGGGTAATGGCAACAGTGATTGAAACTATAATCCAGTCATTGGCAATGCCATGTTTTCTATATCAAATACATTTTTTTTCAACAAACTTTTTATGAAAATTTGATCTGTTCATTTTTGCAGACTTAGTTCTTTACTTGTAATGTCTTTAAAGTTGTTAAACAATATTTTTAAATACATTTTCAATTCAAATAAAAATATAAAAATGATTTAAATACTTGTTTTTTATAATTTTATTAGTAAAAATGATTTAAAATAATTTACTATTTAAATCAGTAATTAAAACTATGCAAAAAAAAACCTGCAGTTATGTTAGCTTTACAAGTTATCAACCTTCATATCCTGTTAAATCATACGAGCACATACGTAATATAGATTTTGTACAACATATCAGCAATTCTAATACAGAACGCCGTCTGTCTTACTTTAATTTTTGTATAACGCAACAACTCCAGCCGTTTCTTTTTCATTCTTTCTAGATGCTCTTTCTCACGCTCTATCTCTTTAAGTCTTTGCCTTTCACGATCGTTGATTTTGCTCGTGACGCTTCTATCTCGGCTAAGACGGTCACGTTTGTTATTTACAATTTTTGAACGTTTCGATTCCGGTTTGGTGTCCGTGGACGCTAAAAAAACACATAAACAATAAACAGCACATCAAAAATATACAAGTGTAATAATATTGTTATTGTTGTTATTATACGTACAAGACCGTTTACTATCATTCAGAGCTTCGGTCTTTTTGTCGCCGCCGTCAACGGCGATAGTCTGTTTCTTCTCCTCTCGTCTGTCGTCATGTTTTTTACATTCTCTGTCCGATCCTTCAGCACAGTCTTCATTTTCTTTGGTATCGTCTGCACTTGCGGTACACTTGCCGTTCTCTTGTTTGACCTGTTTAAATCACATTTACACTCCTAACAAGTGAGCAGTATCCTACTAGACATATATTATTGCACGAATGATGTACGTACCTTTTCGACGGTAACAACATGGCCGTTCAGTTCGGTTCGATTCAAACGTTCGATGACAAGGTCGACTTCTTCTGCCGACGACAGTGTAACGTAACCATAGCATCGGTCCCCTGGAGTCTTCGGGTTTATCATGACTTTAGCGGACACCACCTAATCAATCAAAACATCGGCACACGGTTAGCAAACGATTTGCAATTTTCACTGACCGCAGCATCGGAAACATTTAATAAGTTAAAACTACACAGTTTTTAAATATCATTGCTCAATCCGATCACATTAACCGATATAGGGGTTAAATTTTATATTTGTTCATTCAAGATATGATTTCAGAATACAGTTAAACACTTGTTTTGTAAATCTATAGAATTACGTTACCTTCCCGTACGTCGAAAACAACTTCATTAGGTCTGTAGCTTTGGTGTTGGACGATAAATTGCTGACCCAAACACTGCGAACAACTGATGCGTTTATCTTTGCTGAATAAAATTTAAAAAAAAAAAATGTATTTAGATTTATAATATTATATAGATACTTTTATACATGAAAAATGTAAACTTACACAAATCATTCGAAGGCGATTGCGATCGAGAGTCGTTGCTGTAAAACAAAACACGTACAAATTAGTTTCGATTAATTTAAAAATAATTACTCGTATTATTATGTCGATAATGTACAACACAAAAAACACCTATAGTAGCCAAGAGATACTCTTATCGCACCAATTGTTTATCGTTTTTACGGTAACGTTTTAATGGAAATTCTTACTTTAAATAAGTAACAAACTCTATGTAGTATGAAAACTATAATAGTCACTTGAAAAAGAAAATTGCCGTATAATCATATCTAGTAGTTTGGTAGTTTTCTTTGTCGTCGACACACAGTATCTTCAAGTCACAAAAAAAAACTACACTTTCGCGATGAACGATTGATGAGATAATAATTATACGGTAACTCTTCTTTGTGGAAGATGCAAAAAACAGGTAGAAAAATATTTGGCTGCAGTCCGTCCGTGTCTCTTTTCTTACAATCTTCAAATAATAGTCCACCACACGAACACGAGTCGCAGTTCTTGAGTCGGACGTTGGTTCACTTGATTGCCGTTTGCTTGAATAATTTACAATTGTGTAAATTCTAATTAGCATACGTTGAAATTTTGATCAAATGTGTTACATATCAATTTGAATGTTTGCATTTTTCTGATTAAAGACACAAACAAAAAGGCCACACTCAATTACTTTTCAAGCGACTTCTTTATATGTTTGATGAGCATCGCAGCTCGTTAAATTAAAAACTACCGTCACTCGATTAAATACTTAGAAAGACGGCAAATTAGGGTTAGGGAGGTAACGAGTGTTTAAGAATTGATCAAGCCACTTTTTTAATTGGCTCGAGTTTAATTTTCAAACCCCAAGACTTGAAACTACATACAAAAAAGTTAATTATATTCAAGCCCAAAAAAAATGTTAAGGATTTCCCTTTAAAAATCTGGGTTTGACCAAAAATGGTTCAATGATAATCGCTAATCTAATTTCCAACGGAAGAAGAGTGCGTAACCCAACATAACCGAAGAAGGCAAACTATATTTCCAGTGACAATGGTTTATTTTACCGCCCCACTCTAGCTGCCCCTACTTTCTCCCCAGCCAACAGTAAAATAAGAGTCAACCCTTAAGTCGTAACCGTAAGTACAACGTTTGCTCGGATTAAATAACACCAACAATTTCATAATTGTCAACGTCGTCCCAGAATGGCGTACTATTTTGTCGTATCTCTACGAAACGACAAAATTACCCGAAAACAACAGTTGACCGTTTTGAACTTATTTGTTTCGGTCGAGTCTTTTCGATAAGTTTCCGGCCGCGTCCAACACAAAGGTAAAGTCGTGACCGAGTGCGAAACAAACCTTTGCTTGTCGTCAGCGTCCGCTTTGTCTCCGACTTGTTTCGTCTTGTCTTTGTTGTCCACTTTGACCACGCTCGGTTCATCGTCGTCGTTGTTGCTGTCCGTGTCGTCTACGCCTTGGTGACTTCTCTGCAATTTGTCCGCGTCAAACAATCGCTTGGCGGTTGATCTGCCACGGCATTCATGTTCAGTCGCCTCTCTACTTGTACTGTCGGTTTCTTTGTCGCTGTCGCTTTCACTATCGACGGTTACCGGTGGTCGAGTTTCTTCGTCCGACACTTGGCCCTCGTTTACCTCGTCTAGATTTTGTCAGACAAATTAATATAGATAAAATACAAATTAACTATAATACGCTAATATATATATATATATACTATTATGACATAATTAAGTGCGAGTCGAGCCTGAACATTATAATTAAATTAAGTAAACAAACATAAACATTTACTTCTAAATCGTTACAATTATTGTATTTGCAGCTCAAGTTCACTTAAACTGCTCGTAACTCGCTAACACATATTATAATCTTAACTAAACACAATCCGTTATCATTCTAAAAGTGACAAGCCATGTACTCTCTGTTTGCGATGTTACAAAGTACCATCAATTACACACTTGCATAGTATTGGTGCGTACAGTTCGGTCTCAAACCAATAAAAATTACCCTACTACCACAGTTTTAACGTGAACACGTTATACGTAAAAATATGTAGTATGTTGAGAACGCGGACACACTTCGCATAGCTTAGTCATGGTTCGGTAAGAATAAATACACAACAAAGTCTGATAATTTCTAAAAAACTATTATTATAAAAATCTTTTATAATCACCCTCTTTGGAAGTGTCTGAATCCTCCTCCTTAAAAACAAACAAAATGTACATTAATTTTATTAAGGGTGTATTATTACTATTATTAATTTTTTAACAATACATACCTCATCGGTAAATAACTTCATATCATCATCGCCAAGAGCCAGGTTTATTGTATCTTCGACATCGTCTTTACTTGTCTCGTCGATACAGTTTTCCTTAAAAAAACCAAACACATACATTACTATACACAAACGGGGTATGACTATTAAATAACAATGAAAAATGTACTACACCCCACTAAATAATAATAATAGGTATATTTAATTAATAGCACAAAATTCTAACAAGACAATTTTTTGTTTATATTATTCAAATAATATTTTGTAAGAAAGGTTAAAATGCATAAATTGTCATTTGTTAATCAAACGAAAATTGCCAGTAAACTTAATGACAATTCGAAATAAAAAATAAAGTGACGTGTTAGATGGAAAAGTAACCAGTAAAATAACAAAAATTCTCACTTCTTAATTTGTTACACCTAAAGCAAATGTCGATAAAAATTAATAAGTGTAATTTAGTTGAAATTTCAATTGTGTTTTGAAAGTTACATATGAAATCAGTCGTCATCAGATATAATATGTGTACATATTTTTTTAGACACATCCGTCATTGAAGTCGTTACATTTTGTACTACTTACCGATCATTACAAAACGAACGTAATATGATAGATGTGCTAGAAATGTGAAAAAATCTCCTTTAAAAGTAGAAGGCAATTTAACATACGATAAAAGATTGTACCTATTGTTATTTAAAATGAAAATATAATCTATATGTGTTCCTATAGGTAATAATGTTTATACATTTATTGCCGATTAGGATTTCGGTTCAAACTAAAAAAATAATATTTATAAGGTAAACTTACAAAATCATTGTTGATCTCGTCGAAAACGCCAGTTCCGTTTTTAATGTCTTCCACGTAGACCTCGTGATCCAATTCTTCGTCTAGTATGCAGTCGTCGTCATTGTCACTGTTACATTTGGCCACAAATGTTTCATTACCGTTACGTTCAACGGTATTGTTTTCATCGAAATCTGAACTTGTGGTGGTAATCAAATGTTCGCCTTTTTCACATTCCAACTCTTTTTCCTCGTCTTCATTATTAGCAGCCTCGGACAAATCCGTTTCGTCCGAAACAGCTACATCATCGTTCGGGTCTTTGGATTTAAGTTCACCACATTCTTGTACATCCGCATTGGCGATTAGTTCGGTTAGCGGTTCTGTTTCGGCAGCAACAGCAACGATAGTATCGTCCGCTTGTTCAGTTTTTGTGTCCTCTTGTTTTCTCTCTATTAAAACAAACCTTTCAATTTTTACATAGGGTATGTATGTTTCTAGGAAAATAAAAATGACAAAAGTATATTGACAATAAGCAGATAAGCAATATGCAGAAATAACTAGGTAATAGTTACAATTACTAAAACATGGAAGTATGTTTGTGCATTTTTTTATTTTGTCATGAACACAAATTTTACTCGAACTATTGTGTGGACGGGAAAAGGGCAAATTGGATTTGTCTTTAGCGACTATATTTTAACACTTTTCGGCAAATTTTGTAAATCGCAAGACAAGCAGAACAGATTGTGTGAATTTTGATGACAAATATTACTTAGTTGTAGGTTTTTTTTTGTAGCATCCTTTCCATACAACCTTTCTGCGGAGTATTTTTTTTTTTTTTTAAACATAAAATATGTTTGATATTTTTTCCCTCTTACGATATACATAATTGCCAAGAGTATAAGCACGTTTCAACTCTACTTACGACCTCAATATGGCACTTTAGTATGGCCGCAAAACCTAAGACATTTCACAGTTTTCTTGAGAAAAAACACGGTTGGCAGTTTCCGACAAAAAATAACTTGTTTCAAAACGATACATTTCAGGAAAAGTTTTTGTGGTAATATTTTGAACGCGTTGCTTTTTGTGGCACTTATAAACACATGAATTATTATTATTCATTCGTAAAACCCAAAAAAATTAACCGGGTCAGACAAAAAAAAACCCTCCTTGTTTGGGCAACTACGACGAAAATATTGTTTTTTTACACACATTAGGTTATTTGCTTTAGGCGAGTAGAAGAAGAAGTAAAAGTTTAGGCAAATGGCTCAACACTTGGGCCCCAACCTAAAGCAATCAACAAACTTATAAATTTTAATACTCAATCCGCCTAAGTAATTACTTATAAAAAAAATAGTTAATAAAATATTATTTGTTAAACGTTTTCTCTTCAAATGTATAATTAATGTACAGCCAAAATGTATTGTATTCGTGTTAATCTAATTTAATGTAACCCAATGGCCATTGCTGTCGTGTGTCATAATAATAAAACTAAATTTTTTATCAATTATCGTCCATAAAAGTTGATAAACTGTTACGATAACTGAACTCTTCCGAGGTGTGTTTGGACTTGAGAAAAACTATTAGAGCTGCTCGAGCCCATGCCAAATTAACTTGTCGTTGGTCCATTGTTGAGCGACCATTCGAGTGTATATTTTTTCTCGTTGATATTTTTTACTGATGACGCCATAAGGTACATATAATCGAGGATTTACACGTGTAATTGAACAATTAGTGGTTATAATGCAAATCGAGTGAGCACGACTAATGACAGGACGATGATTTTTTTGTATTATATTTCTATACATACAGTGATTTCTACACCTACGGTTGAACGTGCAACAATTAAAGCGATAAAATTCAATAGAGAATGCGAGGCTAAAGACACGACAACAGAGAAGTGAAAACCGTAATGACACGGAAGGTACCCTAAAACAGCCAACACGGTGCCGTGTACTTATTTTTTTTTTTAAATTGGCAAAAAAAACACTTACTAGATCTCAGTCCGGGTCTGCCTCGTCTGCCGGCTATTCTTTGCTTTACGGTTTTTGACGGAGTACACTTTTTTCTTTTGTTTATTGCTGTTGTGCCGTCATTTTGCCCAGAAGTAGGCGATTCTAGCGCAGAATTTTCACTCATATTAGGTATACAGTTGGCGTTTATCCAAACAAACAACAGCTTTTCGCGGATCGCTTTCCCACAACGGCGGCGGCGACGACGGAAAGTAACTCGGCGACTTTTTTTTTTTAAAAAAAACAAACGTCGTTCGACAGAATTACACACATGGCGGACGCATCGATCACGACTACCTCTTCTACTCGAGCGTTGATTATAATATTATTTTAATGTTCCCCTGTTATTTATTATTACAAGCCGAACCGGAGAACGCGTCGAAGGGAAATAAATCGGAAAACAAAATTACACCTACACCTACTTATATACGGCCAAACGCCGTTCTACGCGCATGTCGTTCATCGTTGTTTTGCGGGCTTACATGTTTTTTATTGACCGATAAGCCGTGGTTCCAAAGAGGTTGTAGGCGTCAACAGTGGAGGTACATTTTGGTTAGGCCTGGGAGATTGTAGACGAACCGCGGTCCGCGTTACGGTGGCGCCATTCGTTCGCCGCCCGTTTCCAACCAGTTCGGCGAATATGTAATAATCGGGTAATGATAAATATTTCAACTATAAAATAATATAATATAGCAAACGATTATCGTTGATATTATCATTGATCATACATACTACGGATAGCTAAGTGCAATGCGAAATACGGTACGCGTAAAAATCGGATACCGCTTTAGAGCGCTGCTATCACGACGTTAGTATCAACGGATAACGGTTGCAATCACTAGTGTCGCAATTGTCGGTGACCGTCGCGGGCAACGGCGATCACTGACGACCGCCGGCCGGCGCACAGTGTTTTCAATCTTATCGTAGCTGGCCAAAAATGGAATTTTACTATAATCTGATATTATTTTTAAGTGTAAGTATCGCACAGTTCATAAGTTTTAGAAAGCTAAATTACCACTCGCTAACGTTTTATCGACTTTTATACTACACGTATACTGCATAACTATGTCACAAAAATGTAGAAATCGTTCATTTCTTCTTTGGAAATACTCATTGGTGGACGTTGTGAGATTATTACTTTTATTGACCGTACTAGAATTTTTTTTTTATTTTTCAAAAAATGGAGATCAATATATTTGGTAATTATTGACTAAAATTACGTTTTTGAGCGACGCGGTGCAGATATTAGTATTATTTATGAAAGGGTAATTATTTATATTATGTAAAACGCAGTATTAAAACCTATGTTTCTCAAATCAAATAGCATGGCAAAAAAAAATTAGGAATTATTAGAGGTTGTTACTTAATATGGTCATGTTCTAAATTTTCTCTTCTATAAAATCGACTAAATTAGAAATGCCGCATCTCGCCGCTTTTTTGCTAATTTTGAATTACAATTTGCAATTAAACTCTTAATTGCAGAACACTTTAAATTTAAACAACTAATTTTAACTACATTTTAACAACTCACTTTTTTTATCTTCATGTTTCTTTTTTTTTATTGAATATAATAATAATAATATTTAGTTCAAATTATTATAACACTCACAGTAAAAATATTGCATTCTATGTATTATGTTAATATAATTTATTTACATTAACGTTCTCTAGTTTGTACAATATTTATTTTCTATTCTATCGTGAATAATTAACTGTAATTTTGTTAATAAAATTAGGATGTTGGCTTATTTTTATTCATATTAGTACAATTTTATATCATTAACGAATTTTGACCAGCTAAAATAGCAATTGAAAACACTGTGCGGCGCAACGAATAGCGGCTAGTATATACTACATCCCATTGTACCTACCGTAAAATGAGATAAATTGCAACTGTTTTTGTGATACGCCTAACTGAAGAATTCAATTAGAAATCTAGTTGCCAGAGTAAATCTAATATATCCTGTTTAAATAGTTATTATGTCTACATTTTTACCCGACTGCGGAAGGAGGAGGGTTATGTGTTTAGGTGTAATTTATGTGTATATCAACATGTCAGTCCACCCAAGCCTCCATCTATTTGCGTCAATATTTATGTTCCCATTTTCCGCTTAAACTACACAACCGATTTTGATGAAATAATAACTAAATGAATCTGTGAATTCTGGCGAGTGTTTTTAACTTTGCTTAATCATTGTTAAGTTTTGTAATACCTATTACTACATTTTCCAACTTCCAGTATGTTGTTACTTATTTTGTAATTTAAATGATATACATTTTTAATCGTGTAATAATTTTATAATTTAACTTAACTAATATTTTAAGATACCTAAATAAAAGTTAATTTAACAAAATATTCAGACAAAACACCCTATTTATTCAGTAGTCACCAAAAAAATGTTCACTTTTTTTCTTCCTTGTTTAAAAAAATAATTCATATTATGCTCCATATCTTGTGAAGGGTTTGAGTTAAATATTTGAAACAAATCGAAAAAATTCCTATGAGGGACAGGGTCGTAATTAGGGGAGGGGACAACATATTTATGAGAAATTAATTTAAAAAATGCAATTAAAAAAATAATAAACCCATTATACGCTGATGGACTAAATGCACTGGTAATTCTACACATTGAATCACAACTAACTCTTAAAATTAATTATAGTGGTATAATTGAAGGTTTCGCTAATGATCAAGCAAGAAGAAATTAATTTAAAAAAAAAAGTTATATTATTTAATATTGTATTTGTTATACAAAAAAGGAATTACATTTTTTTAATTATTAAACGGTTTTTATTTATTAATTGTTAAATTTTAATAATGAAATAATATTATTATAAACATTAAATGTGTAGAAAATATTAAAGAATCTCGGTCATAGATGAATTAAGTGTAATATTGATAATTATGCGGTGTGCTTAAGTTACATGCCCTGTGGCGCCAAAATTTTAAATACGGCCCTGATGAGGGTTTCTAATAAGTACTATGTAAACAAAACTTAATGCAAAATCCGAGAAGGAAAAGGGATGTGCAATGAGTACAAATTCCATACTATCAACGTGTCTATTATCTATTGTCAGTATAATTTCATAAACGTACAATTTTGCTGAAACGGTCAAATCAAAAATAGATTAGGCACTTCCGTCTAGAAGGTAATATTTTGTTTATGGCGGCTTCAATGGTCAATACAATTACATAAAAAAATTAACGATACTAAACCGCGATAATTTTAAAAGTCACTCCAAAATAACAAGGACTGTCCATATTTTTCATTTGATAGAAAATGTTCCGATTGATAGGTTTTTTCCCATGAAATCTATGCGATATACAATATCATAATTTTTATTTTAGCGCCAAAATAAGGCTTTAGATAGGAAAAAGAAGCTTGTAAGGTAATGCGATTCACCTGTGTTCATGTAATTTATTTCATTTTACGGTATTATATTTTAAGCTTAAAATATAAATAGAACACTAATTTTGTATTTAAACATGCCCGGTGGTGATAAATGTATGTACTTAAATCGTTTTAAAACGCGTAAGACAAGTAATAATGTTTTTCACGTATTTCCATCAAATCCAGAAATTACAAGAAAATGGATAGTTAATTCTGGTAAGTGTTTTTGTAGTTAAAAAAAAAAATAATTAAAAATGGGAAATATAAAAAATTATTTCTATATTTCTTCAAAATTAACTTTAGGAAACGTATCTTTAGAAGCATTGGATCCGAAAAAATTAAAAAAACAATACATATGTTCTGATAATTTTGAAAAAAAAAATGTATTCAAATGCTGACGATCCCAAATCGCGACTTATTCGTAATGCTGTTCCTAATAAATATTCAAGTAAATAATTTGACTAATTAATTTTACAAACATTACAATCTAAATGTGTAGGCAACAGGAACATAATACATGTACCTACATTGTAAAAAAAAAATAATTAAAGCAAAAATATTTATTGTATAGAATTAAATACGGAGGTCATTAATTTTGAAGATTCGTCAAAAGAAACCTTTGATAAATCAATTATTATTGCAGAAGGTATGTAAAAAAGTATAAATTTCAAAAAAGTAATAAATACTTACACCGATATGATACACGTTATACTACAAATAAATTTGATATTTTAAATTATTAGACCAACTTGTGAACGATTTATTTGACACCACGCCAACCGAAAAATCAAGAGGCTGCAATATTGTTACAGGTAAATTAAACTTTATTACAGGTAGTGACATATTTTCCACTTTTTCTTGGGGACGGGGGCGGATGGGTCAAGGAAACAACACACGTTTGGCGTTTGGCTATTTTTTTCTTATGATCGGATATTTACCTAAGCTTCGTTATTTTATAAAATAAATATTATGATTTTTATGTAGGCATTTTATGAATAACTACATTTTTATTTTTTAATCAGTTCAAATAGGAGTATTTGTATAAAAGAGTCCGACACAAGGGCGTATTTGAGGGGGTATGGGGACATGCACCTCCCTCATTACTCGTACTTAAAATACTATTAATATACGTATTACAATTTTGCATAGAAAAAAAAATATAATTTGTATTTTATACATATAAGACAATTATTTTGGCCCTCCCCCCCCCTGAATGTCACCCATGGACATTGGTCAAAGACGTCCTTGGTCAGACTAAAGTCGAACACAAATTTAACAGAAATCCCCAACAAACCGATTTTTCTTGGAGTCTAATAACCAGATTATCAAAATGTGCTGTAAAAACAGTGCAGTTTTGTATTTATAATCAATGATATTATGTGCATGAAAGATAGACGGGATTGACAAAACGCGGACACGGTACACAATACGCGAGTACTTGTTTTTATATTTTCATAGGTTTAATTGTACAAACACTATTAAGGACACGAGAAATTATTTCTTAAAAAAAAAAAAACCTAAACTTTGCGATTCTCTTATATAAAACATCGACTTCAATATTTCAATAATAATTTAAATTTGAGCTTTTACTTAATCCTCGGGTACCGAATACTATGGGTCATGACTTTAAGAGCGATTTGTAAACAAAAAAGTACTCGAGTGGCATTTAGACAATGCAATATGGTTGCACGAAAACGGTTCATGGTTGACATGTTCAGCTGTTGAGGGTGTGAAAGGAGCTTTTTTTTTTTTTTGTGTTTCATTTCATTATGGTTGTCCACGATGTACGGATACCCCCTGGCTAAAAAAAAATGCATTAAGCATGACAAATTTGTATATTAAATATACAACGAATTAATTCATTTTTTTTTCTCATAATGAAACCACTTATTTAACAATACAAAGACGAATGCATTCCGTAGGTTTTACGTGTAACCTAACATTAAAACCTTCAAAAATATATTTGTTTGGATTTTAATAATTGGCCACTGCATTTTCCGTGTATTTTAATTTTAATCTTAATCATTGAGGTTGATGTATGTAATAGCAAGGATACCTTGTACCTTTATTAATTTAACATTTAAGGG